GAGCCCGATGCGGGACTCGATCCCGGGACTCCAGGATCATGACCTGAGCCGAAGGCAGTTGCTTAACCAACTGAGCCACCCAGGTGCCCTATATATATATTTTTAAGTAGACAAAGACACTGAAGCTAATTATGGGCCTTACTGGGATGGTCCAGCTAGGGAGGTGAAGGACTGGGGTGGAACCCCAGCCTGCTCTCACCCACCAAACTTCAGTTTTATCAAGTTCATCTCTTCTTGACTGCAATTTGGGGCAGGAGCGTCCATGGTGGAGGAGAGGGTAGACTTTTGAAGCAGGTTTTGTGGGAGCCCAGAACAGGGCGACAAGGTGGGGGAGGGGAAGAGATAATGGTGATAACTTTGTTCACTTAACTATTAGTGCTTGCTACGTGCCAGACACTTTATCTATTTAATTCCTTTAGATTTTGTAGCAACTCTAGGAGGGGTATATGAGTATTCTCCGCATTGCGCAAAAGGGAAAAATAAGGCTCAGAGGGGTTAAGTTACTCAGTTGGACAAGGGGGAGCTGAGATTTGAACCCACGCTGTCTGCTTCCCTTCTCAGCATACAAAAAGGCAGGAGGACAGAGGGCAGGATCTGGGCCCTGAAGCTGTGGGGTGGTGTGTGGGGGTGAAATGAGACCTGATGGACTGAGGGAGTCTCAGACTCAGAATGTAGGGAGACCCTAGATCCTGAAACCTCAAATCACCCTGTTCTCTGTTTTTCCTCCATGGACAAAGAAAATGAACCCAGAAGAAGATGCAGCTACTCTGGATGCTTGCTCAGGCGCCGCCGAGACACCTGGCAACTCTGGGCCCCGGAAAAGGCCCACCTCCACATCATCCTCGCCTGAGCCCCCCGAATTCAGCACTTTCCGGGCCTGCCAGTGAGGCTGAGGATCGGGGGCCCCTCTATGTCTGTGCACTCTCCATTCAGCCCCCTCTCTTGAGGGCCTGAAGTCCCTCCCGCTACTTTGGGGTTTCTGGCTGCCGCTTTTTCAGGGAATTGACAGGGGAGATAAAGGGAGTCCTTGGCCTTGGGACCTTCCTCACAGAAAAGCAGGAGTAAGCACAGGGGGCACAGACATTGTCCTGGAGGTTGGACAGAAAGCAGGAAGACTCTTGTTGACTTCCCAGCTTCTCAGACCACGTGGGAAGGAGATGTTAGGATATCTGTGGCCCCCAATTGGGCCATAAGAGGTCTGAGTCCTCCACATAACCCTCCGATGTCCTCCTCCCCTTTCCACATCTGACTTGACCAACCCAACTGGGTTTTTGGAGCATAGGGTACCTGGGGGTATGTTCTGTAAGTCTGTCCTGCTGGCATGCCTAAGTTATTAATTATAACACGTGTTGAGGTGTTCCCACGGTCTCTATGGAGTGTAATCCTTCAAGCCCAGGATTTCTGGGGTCTAATCACTGGATGCCTAGGGGGAGGGGAGAGGTACCCCTCAGGTGCATGCAGTCAAGGTAGTATATGGGGAAGCCGGTGGGGGTACAGGAGGGGGGACAGTGTCACGTGGTGTTTGCTAAAGTCCTTGCATTGGTGAGTATAGTAAGTGGAATGATGGGGGCGTCAATGAGGTCAGAAAGAGTGGGAGCTAGAGAAGGTGGGAAGCCGCCGCAATCCTTTTTGTACCCTCTAGAAGAGAATGACGCCCTGAAGCAGTGACAGGGGGAAGATAGGTGTGTGTGTGTGTGTGTGTGCATGTGCGTGTGCGCGCGCCCCCCTGTAGAAAGGGGCACTTGACCCTGCTCTGCTGGATTCATTGGCCAGTCATCGCGGTGCGGGGGGGAAGGGAGGGGCTAAGGGAGGGGCCGAGAGAGAGGGATCCTAGAATTTTTTGTAGGGGAATAGATGGCCAAGGATGGAGGAGGAGGGCAATGGGGGGAGGGGGCGGAGACGATGGGGAAAGAGATAAGGAGAGGCTGAGTGCTAGGAGAGGGGACCTTCCAACGGATTCAAGTCGAGGGCAGAGGCTGAGCCCCTCCTCAAACTGATTTTCCTTTCTGGAGGGCTGGGGTGGGGGACCACAGGCTGGGGGCGTGTCCCGGGACCTGGCCCCGCCCCTCGCGCAGGCCCTCCCTGAGAGCCCGGCGCCTCACAAAGCGACATCCAGTGGGAGGGAGCAGGACCGGTACAGGGGCGGGGCCTCGTCGTAGCTGGACCCCGCCCCCCGCGTGCCTCCTCACAAAGCGGGGCAGGGCCAAGGGGCGGAGCTCAGCCGCAGACGAGTGTCGGAGCCTTCGGGCGTCAGACCCGCCTCCACCTTTCCGGGTAGGGGAGCCGCCTCACAAAACGCGACCGTTTGTGCGGGGCGTGGCCCAGGGCGTGTCCACGAGGCCGAGCACCGCCCCCTGGGGCGCGCCCCTGTCCCCTCCCTCCCCACGTCTCGGCTCTGGCACCACGGTACAAAGCGTGGCCTTTCGAGCAGCGCCGGGCTGGGGGGCGGGACCCAGGCCCAGGGGCGTGTCCGCGCGGCCGAGCACCGCCCCCCGGCTCACGCTCTGGCCCCAGCGTTCGTGGGCCGCGGAACCACCTCACAAAGCCGCGACCGTTCGCGCGGGGCGGGGGGAGGCGGCCCCGTTCCCCCGCATCCTCCCTCCCGGTGCCCTAGGCGGCCAGCAGGGGGCGCTGCGCCACGGGGCCGG